AAAGGCGTATGACTTTTTTGAAATGTTTTTTTTTATTTTTTTTTCTGCAGTAAAAAAAATAAAAAACAACGATCAAGATAACATTAAACAAACTGTAACTTCAGTTTTTGTTTTCTTGTTCTTCTTCAAAAATTCAACTTTCCGATCATTTTTACATTAAACATTCTCACTCGTTAGTTAGTTTTTCTTTTTTAATCCTTTTTACGATTATTCATAAATTAACCCATGTGTTATGAAATAGTGTAAATAATTATCTGTTTATTTAACGTAACGTTAAAATGTAAAAAAAAAGAAAAAAAAGAAAAAAAAAAGGAATAACAAAATTAACGATGAGAACTTTTTTTACGAGTAACATGGACGATACAAACCAAAAGGAAAAAACTTTGAGTAAAAAAAAAAAAAAAAAAGAAAAAAAATGCATGTGCAGCAAGCAAGCAAGCATTCACACCTCGAAGGGTGGATTTTTATTTCGCACATACACGGGGGAACACGTAAAATATACTTGATACTCTTTCTCTCTCTTTCTCTCTCTCTCTCTCTCTCTTTCTCTTTCTCTTTCTCTCTTCAACGTGTCACTACACAATTTTTGTCCTTCCTTATATATACTCTTTTCCTTTATATTCTTTTCCTCTTTTCCCTTTTACCTTCAGAAACAAAACGTAGACGATTTTTCGTCGTTCGATTCGAAATCGCGCTTTGTGATTCGATTTTCACGTTTTCAGGACCGAGCGTGGTAACGTGAAGGTAAAAAAAGAAAAAAAAAAGAAAAAGGAAAAAAAAAAGGGAAGAAAAAAAGAACAAGAGAAAACGGGCCGTTGGTGACAATGGGTACCGGCATTGAGAATGCGCTTTTGGCGTATGTCGTGACTGCTCTCTTTTTACCTTTTTCTACTTTTCTTTTTTTTTTTGTTCTCTCTCTTTCTCTTTTTTTCTTTTTTTGGTTTTTTTTTCTTTTTCTTCCCTCATCGTCGTCGTCATCGTCGTCGTCGTCGTCGTCGTCGTCATAGTCCTTTGAATGTAAGTGCATACAGCCTGTCGGCGCCGGCAAGAGAACCAATGGAGTAAGAAAAGAACGAGAAGGATGAGAGAAAAATGACACACACACATACACACACAAAATAAAAAAAAATAAAAAAAAAATAAAAGGAAATGAGAATTGAAAAACTGTCGACTAATTATCAAGCTCGATAATTTTGAAATGAAATGTTAAAGTAATAAAAAAAAAACAAAAAGTAAAAACCATGTGTATTTACGTATACATACTTATACTTCACCATTTCTCTTTGTGATTTAAATATATTATTATTATTATTATTATTATTATTATTATTATTATTATTATTATTATCGAGAGTTATAATTTTCAAACGAATATTTAAAAATGCATTCGATAATTCTTCTTCTAAAACAAAAAGTTGGAAAACAAGTTTAACCAAGCCCCGTTCACTTTGTTTTAAACGTTCATTGGTTCTTTCAATATTTTAAATTATTTTATATAATATTGTCGGGTTTACGGATACAAATTCTATGGAATATTTTTTAATTGGTCTTCATTCTTTCTTTTTTCTTTTTTTTTTTTTTTCTATTTTAGTTTTTAGTCCATTTAGTTCATTCCATTAAATGTTATGAATTTACAAGAGAGAGAATTATATATATAGTTTATTATAGTATAGTATATTATAATTATTATAATATTATTATATATATATATATATATAT